CCCCGACCCTTCCTCGGCTCCGTCCGCCTCCAACATATGTGGTTATAAGTATTATTATGTAGAAGAATATTATATATAAGTATTTATAAGTATATATAATATAGTTATAAGTATTGTTATATATAAATATATTATATCTAAATATATATACGTATACCATATAATTACATGAGTATACTTATATCAGTATAATATAAGTATATAAAAATACATACATATGTAGAAAAAATGTATATGAGCTGACGTCCCATTTTGCACGAGCTGTCCATTATTTGTAAGCTTCGAATTAATCTCACAGTATTTTTTTCATAGCGGGGAGGATCCAAATTCTTTAAATAAGAAAATAGTGAGCTAATTATAAAAAAAAAGAAAACGAGTTTTTACATAGCTTAACCAGCTACGTAGCATTTTTACCTAAAAAATTAGGTACGTAATTTACTTCATTAATGATTCACTTGCAGTTGTTTCAATCACTGTGCTAAAACAAAAAAATAATAGGGGTTTTCTGAAAAAATAACACTACAGTCCAAAACTTGCTCAGCTCGGAACGCTATGACTAAAAGGCGGTACGAGTCGAAGGGGAAGGGGGGGAAAAGAATCAAAAACCTCGGAAATAAAAAAAAGGAGAGGAAAAAAAAACCCTAGTTTTTATCCAAAATCGAAGAATGCGGTGATCTTGTTTCCCCATTTCCAATAAAAATTGCCGCCATGGATTCGACCGACGGATTCAGCGCTTCCCCTCCGAATCGATCCCCAGATATTTAAGGCCGTTTTCTTTATTAACATTAGCTTCCGTTTGCTGCTCATTCGTCACCCAATTCTTGACAAAGTGTGATGTGTTGATTCATCTGCTCATATGTCGTGAGTGCTTTTTCCCCAGATGATAATGAAAATTCGACTTACATTAAGATCCTGGTTTCAAATATGGATGCTGGTTGTATAATTGGAAGGGGTGGCTCAACTATTACAGAATTTCAGGCACTGTCTGGAGCTCGTATTCAGCTCTCACGCAACAACGAGTTCTTTCCAGGAACATCGGAGAGAATAATCATGGTCTCTGGTATTATTGATGATGTTATGAAGGCAACTGAACTCATCCTTGAGAAATTATTGAATGAGGTTTTGTTAGTCGAACATTTTATTATCTATGTATGCCAACGCCCTATTTTTTTAAGTTGTGAATGAACTTCCTTTTCATTGGTATATGCAGGCAGGGGAAACTAGTGATGCTGAGATTATATCAAAAGTGAGGCTTGTTGTTCCTAACAACTCGTGTGGTGGGATAATTGGGAAAGGAGGATCGATCATTAAGTATTAACATTTCCCATTATTTAAATTTTTTAGTGCAATTGACGCAACCTTATGTTTGTTGTCCTATTGAGAGTTACATATCTTTCTGCAATTTGCTTAATGTCTGAAGCTGATAGTATGTAATTGTTATACTAATAGTTTTCCCTGCTTCTAAATGTCACATTTATCATTTTTGTCGCAACTCACTTTTAGTCATTTCATTGACCTCATCTTATGCGTAGTTTTGCTAACTTGAAAGTTCAATGGAAAACAAATTCCCGGTGAGATAGTATGAGAGATATACTTGTAAGATTCAGTTTTCTATGAGATTGCATGTAAAAACTAACGCTGATAGAGGTTCCTCAGGCATGAGAATCAAAGTTTTTTTAAATTAAAGCACATAGTTTCTTCTGATATGTATATATATGTTTGTGTGTCCGTTTAGTCTGTGTGTATGTATTTATGCATGAATTTATACGAATTATACACATGCCTTCACATGCCTAAATAGATATGTATGAATTATACACATATGCATGTACATGCCTAAATAGATATGTAATTAAATATGCACCTATCCATATGCATATTTGTGCGGATATATAGGCATTTATAAGAGGAGAGATAGAGGAAATATGATTTTTTTGAAGGTTTTTAGGCACTACATATTACATTCTTACAGGGTTCCCATTATTTCCTTTCTCTTTGTTGTGTGACACTTGGAGCGAAGAACATGAATAAATATATCACAAATTCTTGTGAAGGGGCTTAAAGCATGTAATCACATAGAAAATTTTGATATAAACCTTTGCTATTGTTGATAAAACCTTTGCTGTTGTTGTTGTTTTCTTTGTTTGTGCCAAAGAATTTCTTTGTTTGTGCCATAAATTTATATCAGATATGTAAAGTTACAGCATTGCATTTCATGTGATTGAGAGACGTAATTGAATGAGTCGGATGCTTTAACAAATTTAGCTTTTATCTTTACGTAATTGAGTTTGTTTAATGAATCTAGCTTTTATTTCCACAGTAGGATATTTTACTTAACTTTGTTTTAATGAAGTTACTGTATTAGTACTTGCTGGTAATTGTTGATATATCAAGATCATACCTGATGCAGGTCATTTATTGAAGAATCACACGCTGGGATCAAAATATCACCTCAGGATAGTAACTTTTTTGGACTGAATGATAGACTAGTCACAATAACAGGGACTTTAGAGGAATGTATGTATGCAATTGATCTAATCATGTCAAAGTTAATGGAAGACGCTCATTATTCATT